AAATATCATTCAATGTTTAACATTTCTACTTTAACAAAATTACATTTATATGTATTTTATCTGCATGAATATTAACTTGGGAGTATATTACAGGCTGAAGCAAGAGCTGAATTTGCTGAGAGGTCTGTCCAAAAATTGCAGAAGGAAGTCGACAGATTGGAAGGTAAAACAGAAAGATTGTGCTTTTGTGTGTGTGTGTGTGTGTGTAAACACATGTATTCGTTTAATGCATATACAAGGCATAAAAGTATATAATGTATGTTTATTTAAATTTGACTGAAAGAATATGCAAATGAAGGATTAGGCAAGATTAAGTAACTGAGGTGAATTAGAAGACAAATATTTTTGATAGAAACAAGCTTTCACTGATATTTATATATAAAGTGTTATCATTTATGCAGAAAGTAATAGGTTAACTTATGTCAATGTATACAAAAGCATAATTTTTAGTATATTAACAAAAACTGTTTAGCAGTATGCACATCACGCTAAAGATACAAAATCCAATACTTTTTGGCCAAGTGGATACAAGACCACTATTGATCTACTATGTGATCAAAAAGTATCAGGATAATATAAAAATTTCAATTTATTGGTGAATATTATATCATCCTTGAAGAAATTCCTTCTGACTGTGAAGCTTTTAATGCTATTTTCCAATCCTTTAAACATATTGCAAAATTGTTTTCATGAAACCCCTTCCAGACATGTAGCAAATTTTCTTTTATTGCATGAACATACTCGATCAGAATGGCTTTTTTTAACCTTGTAAATAAGAAAAGATAAATGGTACTATTTCAAAGGTATAAGGAGGTTTCAAAACTATATTTATTGAATTTTTGGCCAAAAAATGCTTAAATAACAGGAGTATCATGAGCATGTGCATTATCATGATGCAAAACCTATGAATTATTCACCATAATTCAAATCTAGTTTTGTGAATTGCTTCATGTGTATGAAAAACATTCAAATAATATTCTTTGTTAACAATCTGGCCAGTTAGTAGAAATTTGTGATGTCGAACACCAGAACAGTCAAAGAAAACAGGTAGCAAAACCTTGATTTTTGACTAATTTTTACATAATCCAGTTTTGCTACACCTTTTGAGTGCTGATCATTTGAATGTTCATTAATTTGTATATCAGAGACATAGATCCATGTTTCATTACTGGTACTAATGCATTTTAAGAAAGCATCTCCATGGGCCATTTATGATGCGGTTTGGGGGAAATATTCGAAATTTTATTGGCATTGAAAATGTGCTGTGGCCATAAGCCCATATGTTCTCTCAGAGTTATTTGAGAAGATCCAAGTGATGCAGGAATTTTGATTAATTAGAGTAGTGTTATTCTAAATAGAATATAAAAATATTAAACAAGAAAACGTAGGGGTTAAATATCATGAAGTATATCATAAGTAAATCTATGAAAACAGAAAAGATTATTAAATGGGTTCAATTCATTTAACAAAAGAAGAGAAGCAGTAGAATAGTAGAGTATATCTGCTTCTTTCATCATTTATAGTTTTATCAATGGAAAAGTTTCATACCAAGTTCAGTTGTTCAAAGAAAAGTTTCACACAAAGCTTAGTGTTCAAATCTAAAACTTTTAGATCTCTATACAGAGTAATACTCTTTATTAGAGTGAAGCTAATCTTCTTTTTTTTTTTTTTTTTTTTTTTGCATGCTTTTTATCATTTAATGAAAGCAAATGACTATTAATAATATTTTTTTTTATTTTTTATTCAGAATTGGTAGTAGCATTGTTATATGTAAACAGACAGATCGTTAAGTACCTTATCTTTATTGGCTGATAAATATAAGAACTCATTTATGCTAAATATATTTTTTATAAATATTTAATATTCTAGTATATACACTTTTTTGCAAAAAAAAAAATCGAAGCACCATGAAAGAAGTGGCTGCTTTTGATGAAATTGAATATGTGTATAGCTCATGCACAGATAATAAAATTATTAAAAAATCAAAATTATATTACCTGTTCACAGCTCACAATCATCCATTTAGTGTTCAAATTAGTAGTTTGACGAACTGCCCCTGCCAGCAGTGCATGCTTGAATTTGTCGAGGCAAGGAGGAGCGTTAGAGGTTCCTAATGTCAAGCATTCATCAGTTGTCACTCCAGATCTGCAATATTTTGTGGTGCCCGAATCTGGCGGCCTACTGTGTCTCGGACACGCTCGATTGGTGAAAGGTCTGGTGACCTTGCTGGCCAAAGAAGAGTATCAATCGCACGGAGACAATCCAGAGATATGTGGCCTGGCATTATCTTGTTGGAAAATGACCCCAGGATGACGTGCAATGAAGGGTAATGCAACCAGCTGCAGGATGGTATCAACATATCATTGAACTGTTAAAGATGTATGGAGGATGACTAAAGATGACCTGCTGTTATAAGAAATAGCAACGCAAACTATCATGCCAGGGGTTATGGGTGTATGGCTTTGGAAACCAAAGGCTGATTAGGACTGCTGGCGCCATCCTCTCCATACCGAACATGGTGGTCATCTGCTTCAAGAGATCCGGGATTCATTGCTAAACTATGTGATGCCAGTCTGATGGGCCCTGATGATCGGCAAGCAACACACTCCATCCAGGGCGCTTCCCGCGCTGTGGTGTCAAAGGAAATTCTAAGGCCTCGGTGAGCGCATCCTGCTCAGACAAGCGCCGTGAGAGTTGGACTGTACACGGGGGTGACGTGCTGTTGCATTGTAGTCGAGAATAATACCGTTCGGCCTTCACCTTCATCTTATCTTGCCTTGCTTTGTGCTCCTTCCTTCAGAGCCTTCATTTCATCGGCAATTTCCTTACAACCAGCTGCCACATCTTTGCACAGCAGTGTCTGTACGCTGCAGGTGACGCCCTATTCTCTTATACCACCCAGCTTCACGCAACCCTACCCGCAACCACCACATTTGAATTGTCTGTAGGTTTTCGATATTGTCGTAATGGCATCTTTAGTTGCTTCTTTACAAAATTGCAATGGCAGCAACAAAAAAAAGATACATTTTTCGCCTCTGTTACTGATTTTATACTTTGCGAATTGCGCACTAGAAATGTGCGCTATGATTGCAATTCCTGTTCATTTGCCTTGAAACTTTGCAGTTCAATCAAGATGTTTTTGAATACCAAATTTCGTCACGATCGCAAAAGTCCATCTTGGTGCTTTGATATTTTTTTTTCCCTAAAGATTTTATTAATTAAAGTAAAAAAACAGCTGCCAGCCATTATCCTGAAGTTTATTTATCAGCCTTCACAAAATGAAAGAAGAATTTAATTTAGTTATAGTATCACTTCTGCGAAGTTACGCACCTTCCCCTTGTTAAGATTATAATTATTAGTGTTATCATTATTCATTGCTTTTATGTAACATATCATTTATGAGGATTACTACAGCTTTCTTAATTATTGTATTCCTCCTATTTCAGACGAACTGGTCCAAGAAAAGGAGAAATACAAAGCAATCTCAGACGAGTTGGACCAAACATTTGCAGAGCTTACTGGCTACTAAATATCTCGCTTCTGTGCCTGCATATCTCTACAAATTCCATTTTGTATGTTTCTCACTCTTTGTCTTGGATGTCAACATCTCTTATCATCCAAACTGTGAACGAAAAACGAAATCGACTTTGTGTTTCACGATCATATGTGGCCGAGCTTGAACCTAAACGCAAGCTGAGAAACATAAATATAGAATTTATATACACCTCTAACATTTACCAAAGTTGCTCTGTATATCTAATATTCAAACTGTAAATTTCAAAAAAATGTGAAATTTTACTTGAGAGAATCATTAAAATGATTTTTATTCGTTCAGGCTGTCATTCTAGAATTTCTTTACAATAAATACAATGTTTTGATTGTTTCATAGCTGCGGCAAAAAAAAAAGTGCCACTTCAAATAACTTTTTTAAAAAACATGTAAAATATATCCGATTTTGCATCAGTCATTAAGTTAAAAAAGAGGTTCTTCTTCAAATTGCTCCACAATGACAAAATACAGCTGGTTAAGCGCCAAATTTTGATTAAAACAAAGTTATAGAAAAAAATTTCTGTAAAACTTATTAAAAAAAATCGTATTTTTCCTCTTATATTTTATAAAAAATAAAAAAAAATATGAGCTAAAATTTTCGAATTATGTTGTGGAAGAGTGGTGATATATTAGTATAATGGAAGGGGGCTCGTAGGAAATTAAAGGATGAAGAAGAGCTTTCTTAAGAATGGCTTATTGTCATTTAAAAGAAAAATCAACAAATATTAATTTGAGATTTTCATTATGGCCTAAAATCGGAGTGATGAGAACTTCAGGAATTTTTTCAAATTTCCAAAAACTTCACAAATGTAAACTAAATTTATGAATTTCAGTTTTGTTATCTTTTTTCTAAGTTCTGCTATCATTTTTGGACGTTTAACAAAAAAAAAAAAAAAAAAAAAAAAAAAAAAAACATATGCAATGCATTATAATATATAAAAACAAATAGAAGACTTGATCCTCATGCAACAGCATAATGACAAAATCATTGTCTGATTGCTTTGTAAATAAATGTAAATAGCAATTCATAAACAAATAGTGTAATATAATATTTATTTAGTTGCTTGCTAGTTATTTATTTATTTACTGCTTCTTAGCTAATGAACTCTTTATGAAAATTGTTAATAAAAATCTTAGTTTTTGAAATTCCTGCATTTTCCCTATTATGGGCCTTGCAAGGTTTTGTCCCCACCCCTGTTATGAAATTACTACCATACATACAATTATATCATTTTGCTTTCTTTTAGAAAATATGAGCAGTTGAAACCATAAATGATCACTTGAATACATGTACTAATAATTCTAAACCTTCTAAATTTTAGAATTGTTTTATTAATATGTTTCAAATAAAGAATTATATAAATATAGATGTAAATTTCAGATTAACAATTGAACATGGAAGCTCAAAGATGATTATTAATATGTGCAAAAAGGGCTGAGGTTTAAAAGTAGTTTGACTGAATATGTACAGAATAGTGAAAGGAATTTCCTTTTTTTTAATATATTTATGCTATCAATTATAAACAAAAAACAAATCTTAGTGTCATTTAATATTCACGTATATGCACAGTGGTTGCAGAAAAACATTTGGCATAATAATATTACTCATTTCTGTGGTGCTTTTGCTATTAATTTTTTGTCAGTTGGAGTAAAATAAATTTTTCTGTTTTTTTTTTTTTTTTTTTTCCCGTATTGTAATCAAATCTTTTATTCTATAAACTTGCAGCCAATAAAACTACTAAATATTTTAGAAGTGGAACTAAACCGTTTCTGCTACTACTCTGAGTAACTGATAATCTTTGTAGGTACACATCACAATTTATGTACTCAAAATTTTATTATTTATTAAACGAGCATATCAAAACTAATAGATTTTTACCATATACTATATTCCAAACTGCTACAAGTTTTGAAATTCATCTCTTTTAATTGTTACAGCTTTTGAAATATCTGTAACTTGCAACATACTTTAAAATATATTACTATAAACTATTACAATTTCTTAAAATTTAATACTCTTTGAACTGAGCTTTTGCAGTCACATGCTTGAAAACAACGAATAGATTTAAGAAGTGAACTCTGCAGTCACATTGTTAAAAACAACAAATGGATTTAACAGGTGAACAGAAATCTGTAAGTAGTTTTTACAGATTTATTTTACATGTCATATTTCATATTCAATTTGTAAATTTCGAGTATAATCTAAAATTTTGTTCTAGAATTTGAAATAATTTTTATATAATCAAATTAACATTTAATTGTTTTCTCTGATACAAATTTTTAAATATTTTTATGGAAAGGCGTAATATTTTTATCAAATTGATAAAACCTGTTTAATGTCTTAGTTATCACAAAATTTAGAATCATTATGAATTCCTCTTTCATAATTTTTTTTATTAGAGTAGTTGGTTAATTAATTATGACGACATATTTTAAAGGTATTTACATAAGAGGGGAGTTGCTTGTATGGCAAAATCTGATTAGTTAATTATCATGGCACAGCTATTTGCCTCAAATGAGAGATGCCTGTATTTGAAGTCTATTTAAGATAACTGGCTCTGTATATGCTGCACATGAGTAAAACTATAAGATTTCTATACAGACAGCTCCTTCACCTGCCAGGAAACAAAACCAGGATGATCGATGTTTTGGAAAGTTAGCCATTTGTCCTCTGATGAGCAAAATTAAATTAGAGAATACTGAACACAGAAGCTCTTGCCGACAATAAATCAAATTATCTTCTAAGTAAGATAAATAATGCACAAATGAAGATTTATATGAGATTGCCAGAACTGTTAAATACAGTGTGTGTTTATATTTTTATTATTAACTCATATGATTTAAACCAAGTTCTGAGCATAACCATCAATATTGAGTTTAACATGGGTTTATTTCCAAAGCATATAAAGTCGAATAATGAACTTATATAGAATTATGGTAAGACTATATTTTGATGCTTATTCCATAGACATCTATTCTTAATATAGCAATTAAATTAATGAATCTGTATAACTAATAGCTATCTTCCATTGAGGTTAAAATTTTTAAGGACAATAATGAACAAAACTGTATAAAAAATGAATTATTTAAATCAAAAGGGATATGAGCTGATTCTTTTGCTTGAGGAACATATCTTTTAATTCATCAGAAACAGAGATGGTTGACATTTTATTGCCTACATACTTTTCTGACTTATAGAATTGGAAGCGTATGTTTGTACACCTGCTGGACTTTGCAACTTCTTCTGTAAGGAGAACTCCACACCCATCTTTCACATATGTCATAAATATTTATAATGTGATACATTTATTCTAAATTCTTTTCTGTCAACTGTTATTATAAAGTACTGTTTTGGTTCGAACTCCAAACAAATACTGTATGGTATGTATGTATCAAGGCATACATACTGAATTTAAGCATTAATAAGTTACATGTAGTATTGAAGGTGATTTAAAATGCGACAATTCTTACTTGATTATCATTATTTCCGAATTCCTGAAAAGGATCTGTAAAATATTATAAAACATGTGCAACTAGATAATGATACTAAAAATGTAATCTTACTGTAGAGAAATAAAGAGGGGGGGGAATTATTCAAATATAAATATTTTCTCCCCACCTCGAATTATTGGTATGATGTCAAAGATTATTGCTTAGTATATTAAAAAAGGTTTTTGGTTGAGATATTTCTATGGATTAGCCTGATAAAGGATATCGTTATATTTGAATTGGCAGTTCAACCCTATGTAACTGAATGAAGTATGTATATAGTAAAATTTCGATTATTTATGTTTCGTAACCATTATTCGTGATGTACAGTGTGTCCATCAAAAAAAAAAAAAAAATCCCCGGTATATGAATCCCTAGCGCCCAATCTGCTCAACCAATCGAAGTAAAATTTCAGATATTTGAATGTGTGTGTCAGCTATCACGGTTACGGTTACAGTGAAAAAATTTCGAATGTTCGAACCCACTTTTTTTCTGCGCAGATTTATCAACACACTGAAAAACCATAAATGGCGTTTGAATGACATACTTTTGACGAAAATTGCCGGCTTAAAATATTTGCAAAGAAGAGCATTGTAAAAAACCAATAACAACACCAAAAAAAATTTTTTAATTAAAATTACATGTTTTCAACGTACTCACCTTCGCAGAAGATAACACATTGCATGCGAAAGCTTTTTGACAGCAATGGCGAATGTAACTTCGCAGGAGGAATTAACATAACTTCGTGTTTTATGGCATCTTTCAAATCTGACAAATTTCATGGATTTGCGAATTAGATTTCATATAACACCTAAACCAGAAAACCATCAGAGTGAGGCCGGGGGATCGTGGTGGCCACGAAACTGCGAAGTTATGAGAGGTTCACGTTATTTATAAAAAGACAGGATATTTTGGGATCTTAGAAATTGCATGGTAGTTTTCGATGGATTTTTATATTTATACTTTTATTTAATGTGTAATAGTGTAATCTTTGAGAAAAAACTTCAGAATTTTTTTCTAAATACGGTGAAAAAATAATCTTGTTTTATTGTATAATATGGCTTGTTTTTAATTGCGATTTTTTTTTTTTTTTTTTTTTTTTTTTTTTTTTTTCATTTGAAGATTCCTTTTTGCTCATCAGATTATGAGTAGCTGTCAGTTAATTAAGTAAAGGATAACCAAGTTTTTAGATTTCTACACCAGAGGAAAATATTTCTGATACTGAGGTATTAGCACAACCAGCTTAGTAGAAGTCACGAAAGTTTCAGAAGAGACAAATTATGGCAGCCATGTACATAAAAATTCTTCATTTTCAGTAAGGTACGTCACCATTTTTGTATGCGTTCTTTTTGCTGATTCCAAGTTCCAACTTTTTTTATTGATAAATCGTGACTTTTTCCCTCCCCGTCTCACACTCAATTTTAAAGTATTTGCCAACGGTGGAAAATATTCTGTCAAAATGTTTTACAGGAATACAGAATTTTGCTACAAAATCGCTAAAGAGAACATTCGTTTATTTACTGGAATGCAAGTTGCATGTGATGTATATAAAGAGATTTTTATTTGATGTTTATGTTCCTTTCCATTTTTTAAAAAAATACGTAGTATAGTTGAGTCTGTAAACTTTGGGGACAGAGTGTACTTAGCATGTGGAGGCAAACAAATAGAAAATGTTTATGGTAAACAATAGTCCTGAAATCAAATTCATTGAAGATTAATATCAATAAAGATATCAATAATAGATATCAATAAAGGGAAGGATATTGTCAGGTTCAGTTTCAAAAGAGAACTGGTTAGCCTGATCAGTTGAATTTATAACAGAAACAATTTTTTCTGGCCAAACTATTTGATATAAAACTTAGGCGTTTTTTTCGCTGAGTCCGATTAGTAGTCCGACCCAGAGTTCCATTGTTGTCTCTGTATCTCACGCAAGTTATTTATTACCGAAAACAATCCGTAAAAATTATATAATAATGTCTACAATTTAAGGTAATTAAAAAAACTATAAAATATTTGAAAATAGCCCCAAAATTTTAAACAGCAATATGAAAATCATATAGTACTTTATTCTAGGATATGGTTGTTGGATATGTTTTCGATAAGAAAGAAGTGCGATAAAATGATCTGTAGCAAAATAAATAAAAATACTTTCTTGGTCCATTTCTTTACCAGTTTCGATCCCTTAGACGCCATTAATTAAAAATTATTTTAAAATACAAAGTTTACATACATAAAGTATATTACTTTAATTAAAGAAATTATTAGAATGGAATATTACTTTCACCATATACTATGTTTCTGATACTATCCTTTGGAAAGATGCCCGTTACGCAGACGCAGCGCATTACATCATAAGAGCCATAGTTCCGTGTAAAATTGAGTAACATGGATAAATACTGAGAAACTGACGCCCAAATTTAGAACTTGGCAGCTTTATTTTGTTTACAAACATCGTTTGATTCATCATTCTGTTATTTGTTAATTTTACGTTCTGAAGGGGATATTGAATCGTATATAAATATTACCTTCCACGAAAATCATGTGGAGAAGATAAATTTTGATAAATAATTAACGACGTAAATACTTTTTCCCTTCTTCCGTTTTCATGAAATTGCTAATTTAAAAGGGAAAATTTCGCAAAAAAAATGTAAATACCGAAAAGCAATATGCATAGTCCTTAAAATAATGAATGTACGCTTACCCAGAGCTCAAAAGAGAAATATAGAAAGACCGAAGGGCAAAAGAGAAATACAGAAAGAATTTGAAGGAAGATTTTAAAAGGAACTATTCAAATTTGAAAGGTTTTACAGAGACAATAATGAAGATTATAAATACTAACAAAGATAGAATTGGAATTCGGTACTGAGACTCAGATTTTGGACTTTATGTGTCTTTTTTTTTTTTTTTTTTTTTTTTAATTTTATTTATTTATTTATTTATTTTTGTCAGTCCCATTTTTTGATCATACGGCCGGCTTGAAGGATTGGGACTGTGCCCTTATAATGTTATTGATAATGCTATCTACTTAATAACATATCACCTCCTCATAAAATGTGCCAGGGGCGTAGCTAGAGGGGGGCATCTGTCTCCGGGCGCAGAATCCAAGGGGCGCCAAATTGATGTTACGACATTTTAGAATTAAATGTTTTCCATCCTTGGCAAGCAGTAGGGGGCGCGAAATCTTCAGTTGTCCCTGGGCGCTGAAAACCCTAGCTAGGACTCTGGAATGTGCAAAACTCTAGTAGGCAGAAGAAGAGTGGTTCTTATTTAACAGATAAATAAAACAGCTGAGAATTTCCATAAATTCTTTATTAAGAAAAATGCGCAACTAATTTTATTAAAAGAACGTACATAGTCATAGTTTTTATATCGTTCAATAAATTCTTTAAATGTTGTAATTTTCTTAATGGCTTCCAATCAGAAGTATACCCTGAACTGCATTTTAATTGGTATGCTGCCATCTATTAGGAGAAAAAGATAAAATGATAATTGAAGTAGCTCCGTATAAATTCAAGAATAAAAAATCAGTATGCTGAATTCAACATTTTAAGAAAGTTACTGTAGTATAATGCAAACTCTCCCTCCTTCTTAAAATACCCTTCTGAAAATCATACGTGTCATAATCTGAGCCGTTTTACATTTAAAATGTGTATTGATTTTTCATGCGTTTCTTTATTTACGATAAAAGAAAGCCCGCTTACTTAGTTCTTGCCTCAAGGCAGATATTTGAAGTATTATAATTACATTGTCTGTATGTCATATCAAACTAATATATGTGACGCCGTCTTATATGTAATTCATTTTATCCTTGTAAAATATTTTCAGAAAAGATCATCTTAGATATAAAGCTTTCTTACCTTCGGGTGTAACCAAGTATTATTTGTTAAAAATATTAAGCTACTAATGAAAATACGTTATCAAAATTAAACAGATTTAAGGGATTTCATTGCGAGGAAAATGGTTACAGATACTATATTCGAAATGCAAGGTTCACTGGCATATGCTGCAGATAATTGTACGCAGTATTATACAGCCAATTCCAATGCAGTTACCATGGTTCAAGCAGGAAGCTGAGAGTAGCAGAAAGCCTCTCTGTGTATATTATAATATGTTCGTCAGAATTATAATCAGAAGATTTGAATGACCAGTTCATACGATAATATAATCTTGGAGATCATATAGTTCTACCACCTTAGCATGATAAACACGAGCCCGTGGAAGGTAAATGAATATTATTACATCTTCATTTAAATAAACACAAATCTGGTATTACCTCCTTAAATCTACACAATCAGATTCAATGCTAGACATTCTGACCCTACAGCTCCTAAATTCTGCCGCTGGGTGTCTTGTTAAAGTCTAAAAACTATGGCTTCCGTGAATTCTGGCGACAAGTGCTGGTGTCTTGCGCCGCGTCTGACCACAATTCAGATTTATGATCTAAAACGCGAGTTAGTTTGTACTTTAAGCTAATGAAATGCCATTATAAACCATGACATTATCTTAAATATAAGCGGTAGCTTTCACAAAAAATCTGTCATAGGAGGATTGCTGATGAAGCGCATTTTCTTTTCGAATTAAATGTACTCATAGAGTCGTTAGGATGAACCCTGATTCGTCCGTAAGCAAACGCACAGATTTCCACTTCGCTACAAATCTTGTCCAATTTTAAGCGTCCATTGCCTAGTATTATTAGTAGATTAGGCATAATGATTTATGTTTCCATTTAACCCTTCGCGGCACGGTGTGTCCGGTCTGTGCACTCCTAAAAATTTCCTTCTGTATGCGCAGAAAAATTGAAGAAAAAAGGATTTATAGGCTACTATACGTTACTCTGATCCTTCTTTATTTATAGTACATGGCAGCCCAACACAAACCAGTCCCTATATTTTAGTCATGTTTAGTTTTTAAAGACCCTCATTTTTCAAAGAAATCTTCCAGAATTTTTTTTTTTTTTTTTTTTTTTTTTTTTTTTTTTTTTTTTTTTTTTTTTTTTACGATATGAAAGGAATTATTTGAAAAGAAATTTCTATGGTATTTTCTTGGCTGTATGCTAATTTCCTTATTCTATATTAGTTTTAAATTTTTGCTTTGACATCTTGCCTAAAATCTAATGGCGAAGATCGTGTGTGACCAGAGTGGGATCATTGAGAGACTAGGACAAGACCAACAACTGTATCTTTATTTCTCTGCAGCTCACCGGTCAGCACAATAGAAAGGTGGGCCGTGGGTCCACATTTGTGTTTCATCTCCTGTTTTCTCTTCTTTTCTCTTTTTTTTTTGGGGGGGGGGGGGGGGGAGGGGGGAGGAATGATTTTCTGAAGGTCAGTTAAGTTTCCTGAAGGTTTCATGAAGGTAGTTAGCTGTTTCGCTTTTATTCAAAGAAGTTTTGTTAGCACTACGTTATGTTAGTTTTGAGTTGTTACTTAATTTTATTTTATAGTTTGTAATTTTTAATTGTAGATATTAGTTTATTTTTCTCGGATTTTTAATTATTTTCCAAATGGATCGGAGAGGGCTGACCATTTCTGAAGCACTTAAAGCGCTATACGGATTACCTTCAGATAGTGAATCTGATATGGATCCCGGTACATGTGCAAAACATGCAATGTTGAGTTGTGCTTTTCAAAAGTGGTGTCACTCTCTTCGAAAAGTACAACCATAAAAAATAGACTAAAATGTAAATATGAAATGTAAATAATGTAACTATCATATACCAAGTTACTTTTTTTTCATTTATACGCATGTAATTATCATCAGGGGCGTAGCTAGAGGGGGGCAAGGGGAGGCATCTGTCCCCGGTCGCAGAATCCAAGGGGCGCCAAACTGATGTTACGACATTTTAGAATTAAATTTTCCATCCTTGGCAAGCAGTAGGGGGCGCGAAATCTTCAGTTGTCCCTGGGCGCTGAAAACCCTAGCTACGACTCTGATTATCATATAACCAAGAAAAGCTTTTTTAGCAGGCACCGCCGTAGCACACCTTGGTTAATAATAAATCTGCTACGATATTCAGAATCTAGTGTTTTTTAGTCGTAGGCAAAATCTCTTACTCTTTTACGCGTTTCTCAGAAACGCTCATTTCAGCACTCTTTTCGAAGCTCTGTTCATTCAGTGAGCCCGCTTCGGGCACACCCACAGAATTAAAATGATAAGTGCTATTTTCATAAAATTTTACCTGTCTGCTCTTCTAGGCCTGATAAGATTCCCTACATTTTTTATGGGGGGGGGTCGAAATTTCAACTTTAAAAGGTAGCGTGCCGGAAAGGTTGCGCATTTAGAAAAATTAATTATTATATTAATAATGCTTCATTTTAAATGTTAACTTTAGCAATTTCCCTCTAATATCATCGTCACTGCATAAAGGCGCTCACCATGCCCTTGCAAGACGGCGTCGATTAGGTTTGGCGCGGGTCTGGATATAGTTCTACCACCTTAGCACGATAAACACGAGCCCGTGGGAAGGTAAATGAATATGATTATATCTTCATTAAAATAAACACAAATCTGGTATTTCCTCCTTAAATCTACCGCAGATTCGATGCTAGACATTTGACCCTATAGCTCCTAAATTCTGCCGCTGGGTCTAAGCGTAGCTTTCGTAGAAAAGCTGTCATAGAGGATTGCTGATAGAGCGCTTTTTGTTTTCAAATTAAATGTACTCATAGAGTCATTAGGATGAACCCTGATTCGTTCGTAAGCAAACGCACAGATTTCCACTTTGCTACAAATCTTGTCCAATTTTAAGCGTCCATTGCGTAGTATTATTAGTAGATTAGGCATAATGATTTATGTTTCCAATTAATAGTGGCGAAGACAATTCTTAGTTGATTTAAACAATCTATCTGCTTAATAGAATAGCTGTTTGAAGGTTCACGTTATTCACTGCAGTTGCTGCTCTAGGTCTTCTTTTATTGCACTTTTATATTATTTTTTTAATATTTTGGTATTGTTTCAGTTTATCATCACAGAAAAGTCTGGACATTTCGGCTTGATTCTGGAGAGCTTCTATTTGACCAATAGATTCAAACTGTACTAATCTTTTGAGTGAGGCTTCAAAGATGCATTACAAATTCCTGTTATCTGGAAATTACTCTTCACTGTGCAGTACTAGCAAAAAAAGAAAAAATCTCTTTAAAACGAATTGAATTTCGAGCACAGATAACAATGATACCCTTTTCTAAATGAAATATTGATTATCTTTATATTTCATGTGCTATATACACAAAATACACAATTTCCTTTCTAAATTTGTTGTGTTTTCTCCTTTTGTTCCTTTATTTGGGAAATCAGTTTATGTTGCATGCTATGTATAGACTTTACGATATATCTACAGCTTTATATACTATAGTTTGTGTTATGATTTTATGGAACCTGTACACGCTTAATACGTTTTGGAAAATAAAGCTAATGTTCTAGTTTATTTGGATTGCTCTATACTCAACCTGATTTTATTTATAGATAAAAAAACTCGGATTTTTTATGTTTCCAATTTTTTTTTTACCAAAACTAATAGTTAGATTTTTATTCTAGCATCTTTCCGTTTTTGCATATCCTTAATACACATCTGCGCAAGGAAAAAAAAAGACATTAAAAATTATTCTTAAATAAATGGAAAAAATAAGGCCTATAGGAAATCAATTTTTCTTCTGAGCAGGCTTTTTTGTAGAGTGACATCAGCAACAAGTTGACAGTTAGTAGTCTTTTTTATATAATAACCCTCACAATAAAATAATGCTATAATGTCACCTCAAAAAAGAGCTTTAATTACGAATCCAAAATTTCGAAAAAATAAAAGCGTAAGTTATTTAAACAATGTTTTTATAATTTGGGAATAAGTAAAAAATAAATACGTAAAAGTATATGAGCTTGAAATTTTTAGAATATTTTTAGATGTTTTTATTCCAATGTAGTAGATACATCTTCACTGGTGGCAACTACAAATTTTGGAAACAAGCCTAAATCTAAATATAATGAATTGGCAGAACAGTTCCGAATAGTATCGCAATTCCATCAAAGTCTTTTAATTTAAAATTCCTCGGTTGGTAGAACGTTAAAGTACTTTTTGCTCATAATTCAAAAGGCATCTGCATAAGTGTTGATATCCAGATGGTATAAAATCAAGGAACTCATCGTGAGTATTATAATTTTCATTTCTGAGTTTGATTTGGTATTTCCTGCCTGAGCCTAGCTTTAAATTACAACAGAATTTGTGTTGTAATGGCATTATAAATGCGCTTTATTTCTTCATTCTTCCAGTGACAGTCATCAGTAACAGTTTGACCTGTTTCTTTATCGAAGAACTACTGCTTCAGAATTTCATGATGGCATTTGGTTTTTATAAAGCAAATACAAAACATCATTTAAAAAACCGAGTATGAGAAATTTGAAGAAAACTAGAAGAGGACGTAATTTCAGACTGGATTGCGATCGATTTCATTAAAAATATATAGAAACAAGATTTAAATTAATTAAGATTTTGATTAATGATCAAGAATTCTTAAATTACAACTAAAAAAAATTCGTGTTCGAAACTTCAGAATGTAGAATTAAATAAAAAGTCAAATAAAAGATTTTCAAATCAGATTTCAAAATGGGAAAAATGTAATTAATAAGGTTTGAGAATGTAAACTTTTTTTTTTATTATTAAATTGAAATTTTATTTCTGGGGGAAATCGAATAAAAATAAAAATCAATTTTTTTGTTTATAACGAGGCTTTTAACTATTCGCTTAGAAGCAACAGACAAAATGATGAATGGGCCTATCATATATATATATGCCTGTCGAATGGTTACTTCATTTATAGGAATAATGGCATTATGTTAGATCCTGATACTTGAACGAAAAACTTAAAATAAGTAAATAGTGCACTCTGCAAAGAAAATTTACATCGTGATGAGATGAAAATCAACTATAGTCTTCTTTTTTTTTTTTTTTTTTTTTTTTTTTTTTTTTTCCCTTCAACTTTCGATTTTAAATTTGGGGTCAATGAATGTAGTGCGTAAAAAGTAGTCATGTAATGAGATGGTTAACGGCGGCTGACTGATAGTCCAAAGTCCGAGGTGTAGATTCGATTTCGCGTAAGGTGTGACCGTAAAATATCCGTGCATCCTAAATATCATCGAATGTAGTGAAGAATAATCTACAGCATCAACAAAAATGTACTTTTTCATATTTAACAAAACTGTTGCAGTATCTATGAACAAGCAATTCAGAAACTTTAGATAATGTTGCGTGCGTACGGCTTCGTAATAAATTGAATGCACAAGTCCGATGAAAAGTGAATAAAATTTATTCTTATCACAACAGAAAAAACAAAATGCTGACATTTCTTCAGAGATATTTGTACAATATCGCAATATCTCACAGTAGTTATATTCTAAACTACTAAAACGTTGAATACAACTCAAGTCAAAGCAAAGAAACGCAGAGAAAGCTAATGCGAATTCGCCGCTAATATTCTATATGGTAAACAACAACAGTCTTCTAAACAGATGTTTTCCTCCAGCTTTTATAAGCTTTTTAATCTGTCACGAGAAGCTTCTCGTAATTTCCCGAGTTTTCTGGAAAGGAAAAGAGTACAATTTTACGAGATATCTATTTATTAAATGCGCGTGCTCCTGTATTTTAACTTTTCCGGGGTAGCTTTCCGGGGTAAGTCTCGTCCAGCATCGCATGGGGATATAAAGCAATTTTAATTAATTCTACTAAACAAAGCTAAATAAATACAAAAACCGTAACAATATTATAATTTACATACAATTTTTAACTTTATTATTATCTTACTTTTCTCCTAATATGTATCTCTTTCATCAGAATAGCTTGTCTATTAAGATTTATCCAAGAGTATAGAAACACTAATCTCAGTACATGAGAGCGATCGGTGTATGCATCGGGAGCTATAAACGAGCTGATGCAATCTTATCTTTCGAAAAAACTGCACAACATTTTAAAAACGCTAAATAAAATATACAGTTTTAAAAGATTCCACAAGCTTTTAAAAAGAATGTCATATATAATCTAGTTGAAATAATTACATAAAAAATCAGAATTACATTAGAACACAAGAAAATGTAACAATGGTCCTTACGAAAGCAATATTATTCTTTCGAACAGCTCTAAAATCAGTTTTTTGTTCTCAAACCTTTTTTGCACAAGATAAATAATAACCTGATAAATGGAAAGAGAGTCATCCTCTAAATGTCAACTTTAGAACAAAGTTCGCTAATAATTTAACCTGATGTTATATAGGGCTTTATTCCGGAAATGATCTGAATGTAGCATTAAAAACTATGAGCTGGAAAGCAGTGACTGAAAGAGTCAAGCCAAAATACGATTTCTTTACCATCGATCATTAATAGGATATTTATCACTCGTATATCCAATAAATGTTTTATTCAGAGCATTCTGTGTAATCAAACTGTGTTTTCAAAAATTTTGTGCACTCTGTGTTTTCAAATGACGTCTTACGGATAAAGATAATCAATAAAAATATTAGTGATCTTTTATTTTCCTAGCATATAGTGATGAATTTACTATTCCACTAAGATGTCCAATTTGGCCAGGAAAAAAAAAAAAAAAAAAAGACCTATATTCCTTAGCCAGCTGCAGCCGCAAACTCACATCTAATATTTACATGAACGTCATTCTATTAATAAGATTTCTTTTCAAATATTCTTCGAAATATATGGTCATATATTTGATTCAAGCTACCTTTCACTGAAACTTTCATAAAAGGTATAATTATTACATAAAGAAAACATGTAGGGTTATTAACTGTTATATGTGGTACAGTAATTAATAACAGGGAAACGCTTGCCTTCGTAGAAACTGATCTCAGATACCTGATTCAAATTCTGCAGATAGATATCATAAAGCAAAACTGTACCAGATATATGGAGGTATCAAAATCGTATGGAGGTATCTTTCTTTTCATAACCTCTGTGATAGCTTGGCCAATGAAAATAATTGTCTAAATATACTTGCCATAGTAAAATGGCTCTAAGGAATCTAGGTCCTTCCTTATTTAATTGTCTGGCACAGCTCCGACAAGCATTACAAAAAGAGGTGATCTTCCCAATTATTTTATTTCCCTCCAAACGTATTCGGGATGCTATATGCATAACAAAACAATTCGTAATTTCAAAATACTAAGAGCGTTCTTTCAAAATAGAAGATTAAGGGAAACTCAGGGAATACATACAGAATTACATTTATTCAGAAGAGTACCAAAAGCAATAATTTATTTTGCGATATAATATACATTAATAAAAAAAACTTTTTAAGATGTGATAGATTTAGACAAAATACATGCTATTTCAAGATAAATGTCATGAAAGAATATGGGTCACAGGTATGATAGCATAAGCTTACGATAAGACGCTTTAATATTTCAACTGCTTTTAATGTATGTTTGCATGACCACTTTGTGAACGCAAAGAAAAAAATAGATATTAATTACGAATAGAATTTCCATAAACAGTCTTTTCTCAAATTTGATTTTTAATCAGATTTTACTACAGAAGTTTATCTTTTTGTAAAGCGGTCTTTTCTGAATCCATGCTAAAAGGAAAAACAGCTGCTGAAAGAAATGTTTGTATAGAAATAGAGGAAATAAATTTGCTCCTTACTCTCCACAGCTTGTAAAATCTGTCTCTTCTATTCCACATAAACTAAACTAGATCCTACAAATCCTGTAAGGATCTTAAGTTTTACTAACGTTTATTTTATTTTAAATCTTTACTATCACTTCTTATTTTCTACTTCCGGCCAGAATTATAAGCGTGAAGGATTTTATGCAAAGTTGTCTGGCGAACGCCAAGTATTTAAGTGTGGCCTTTTTGCCAAGCAGGAGAGAGGAAGCAGTGAGTTCGAAGCAGGCCGCTTACCTTAGAAGTTACGCAGTTGCTATTTGCCTTCCAGGCCAGAGGTTTTAATCCTCTTGATAAATTAAACGTATTGTAGTGTTCACAGTCTCTGTGCTACATACGCTTCCTGTTATTATAAGGCCAATCTTATTCTAAAGTTAAATTAGAGTTTAGTTTATTTTTATACCTTTTACGTTAGACCCCGAGTGGAGGGTCATTGTATTCCGAAGTACGGAAGTCATTGTATATAAAGAAAAATAAAGGGTTTGTATACCCTTCGTCTGTATCCTGTCTACTTACTACAATTAGTGAACATAGCTTTAGTAAGCTCTCTGTTCCTAGTCAGGTCATTGTATGTTTCCGAAGAAGGTTAGAAGAAACATTGAACCTGATAGTGGCGCCCGACGAAGAATAACCATGGCCGAGTTTCAAGAAGAACCTGTGCTGCCTGCAGAAACGGCTCAGAATCCAGAAATGCCAGCTGCCGCTCTGGAAGGATTTGGGTTACATCGTCCAGACCATGCGCGCTTCGATGAAACCAGAAGCAACGTTTAA